CTTGGGACTCTGCACTTACTACCGGAAGTTCGTGAAGGACTTTGCAACTATAGCTACTCCACTACATGATTTGACGAAATAAGGGCAGAAGTTTGAATGGACAGTTTCTTGGCAGCATGTTTTTAAGACATTGAAAGAAATACTGGCCTCAGCTCCACTTTTAAAGCGTCCAGATCCCTCACTACTATACATACTGGATTGTGATGCTAGTAATGTCGGAATTGGAGGAGTGTTGTCTCAGAAAGTTGGTGAAAATTAACATTTGTTGGTCTACTTCAGTAGGGTTTTGAGTCGACCAGAGAGGAACTACTATGTAACATGGAGGGAACTCCTTGCTATAGTAAAGAGTCTGACATATTTCCATCCTTACCTCTATGGGGCTAGGTTTACCATCAGGACAGACCATGCTGCATTACGCTGGTTAAGACCATTAAAGAACCCAGAAGGATAACTGGCACGTTGGATCGGAAAGATAGACCAATATAATTATGATATTGAGTATAGAGAAGGAAAATAGCATGGAAATGCCGATGAACTGAGCCGAACACCCTGCAAATTACTGCAGACATTGCTGCAAAAGAGAGGTTGAACTAACAAGGTGCCATAAAGCTGAAGTCAAGGTGACTGAAATAGTTGATGATGGTGAACCAAATATAGATAGCAAAGCAGAACAGGAGAAAGACCAAGATTTAAAGCCAATATTGATTTTCTAAAAACAAGTGTTTTGCGCTCTGCTTGGGAGAAGATGTTTAGCTTAAGCCCTGTGACAAAGAACTATTGGGCACAATGGGACCAGTTGAAGCTTGAAGATGGTATTCTTGTCCGTAGATGGGAAACTGCAGATAGGAAAGTGATGACCTGGCAAATGGTTATACCGAGAAAGTTACGGGAAGTTGTGCTGCGTCAATCCCATGATAGTTTAACAGGAGGACATCTCGGAGTTAAGAAGACATTGAATCACCTACGACAGGGATTTTACTGGATAGGTATGAGGCAAGATGTGAAAGAATGGTGCAGGACCTGCAGTACATGTCGTGCTAAAAGGGGATCCAAGCATCAGGGACGTGCTCCAATGAAATTATATCGAGTTGGTGCACCAATGGAAAGAGTAACCATTGATGTTGCTGGTCCTTTGCCTCAAACTCGTGCTGGAAACAAGTACATTTGTGTGGTGATGGATTATTTCACCAAGTGGTCTGAGGCATATGCAATACCAAATCAGGAAGCTACAACTGTAGCTTCGGCTATTAGTGATTTCTTCATCAGATATGGTATGCCATACGGACTGAATTCAGATCAAGGCCGTAACTTTGAATCAGCTGTGTTCCATGAATGCTGCAAGTTGTTTGGCATGCGAAAGACCAGTACAATGCCACTTCTCCCGCAGTCTGATGGGATGGTAGAAAAGTACATCTGGACACTTGGACAGGATTTGGCAAAGTTTTGTAATAGCTGCCATGTTGACTGGGATGTCTTACTCCTTCTACTGTTGATGGCCTATAGGACAGCAGAGCATGGAGCCACTGGATACACTCTAGCAAAGGAAAGGATGGATAATATTTACCATCAAGTGCATTCAAACTTGAAAACGTCTGCTGATTCGATAAAGTTATGTTATGTTAAGAGATCTACTGAAGTCGGCTTTGTACCAGGAGACAAGGTATGGTTGTATAATCCCAGGAAGACCAAAGGGAAGTCTTCTAAGTTGTCTTCCCCATGTGCAAGCCCATATGACATAGTGGATCGTCTCTCAGACGTGACTTTCCGAATAAAATGTGGTCGGCGATGTAAGCCAAAGGTGGTGCATGCCAACAGGCTTTGCCATTATCACCGTCCAGGATATTTCAGTTGAACAAAGTGAACAATGGAACAAATGACGCTGCCGAAGACGTGTCACCTGAAAAAGCCAGTGTCGAAAAAAAAATACCCAGTTTTGAATAGGGAAACAGTGAAGCCCTTAATGAAGTTACTACCACCGATGTGACTATTACCAATAATAGGACAGTTCCCTATGGAGCAGATGAACCTCACGTGAATCAGAAGTCAACGAGAGGGAGACCAGTACGGAAGTAGATACGTCCCGTAAAATTAAGAGACTTTGTTG